CAGAGAACAAAGGCGTCTCAGGTGAGATGAATGGGGGGTCACAGTCCAGAAAGCTGTAACTGCTCCATATTACAAGTCTGGTGAGTCTGTGGTTTATAACAGTGCTGTGTACTTTGTGCACTTTGTGTCAATTGATTTAATGGAAGATATCTGATAAGTCTTATACTTGTTGAATTGGATCACTTTCATTCTGATCGAAGGTACACAGTGTTTTCATTGGACAATACAGGTGACTTGAGCTCAACATATTTCTAGTAAAGAAAGCTAAACAAAGAACCTTTTAACAGCTTTACCCCTCTTCTAAACCAGTACACAAAGTTTAACAATCCAAAGCATTCCCCTTTTGCTCTTTTCAGGTGTAACAACTGCAGCTGAGTGGTTAACGCTGCGCACAGCTCCTTCACCGTGGGCAGAGTTGGAGTTTGAAAACATCGTCCTCACCGTACCATCAGATGCTATTCGGGATCTGGAGCGCCCCGACAAGGTGGCTGCTCTCTGGGATGAAATCATGAGGGCCATTGCAGATCTGGCTGCCAAACCACACAAATTTCCCCGCAAGGAGCGCTTTGTGACAGATGTGCAGATTTCTGCCGGTAAATGCACTTTGCTTCACGTTTTATACTTGCCCACTGTCTCCTGCTGTGGTGACCCCTTGTGAAAAAGGGAGCAGCTGAAAGCTTTTGTATTTACTTGTTTCTTATTTGCTTTGCTTATGGAGAGTCCCAATGACATGACGCCTGTCCCTGACACATATACAGACAACCATTTACATTTATAAATCACAACAATTTGTAGTTTCCAACTTAAACAGGAAATGAATGTTTCTGTCATATATACACTGTTAGAATGATGAATGGCAATATTTGGTATGTTGCACTGTTCTCTTACAAAGCTATGTAATCTTAAAAAAGTACTAGTATCCCACTGTAGATCAACTTTCTATTCTTTGGTTAAGGCTGGATGCATGCAGGTTATCCTATCATGGCACACCATGCTTCAGCTGCTGAATTAGTTGGTGTTAAAAAAAGTAAAGAACTGTGGGGTCCCATCCATGAGTTGGGACACAACCAACAGAGAAGCTGCTGGGAGTTCCCATCACACACCACAGAGTGTACATGCAACCTGTGGTCAGTGTATGTGAATGAAGAGGTGCTGGGTCTCAACAGAGCACAGGTAGAGTAAATCAATTGGTGTTGAGATTAAAAATCTGTTATTTACTTTATCAGACATCATCATAAAACACAAGCACTTTTTCCGATTGTTGTTCAATGCAGGCTCATGACGAGTTGCCTTTAGCAAAGCGAAAGAGTCGAGTAGAGAAATACATCAAGGGAGGAAGGGAACTCAGTGACTGGAAGCTGTGGGTTGCCCTGGAAACATATCTGCAGGTGAGAGAGTTATAGAGAAATTTTGCTTGGTCCACAGTGAAGTAAATGCATGATATGAATAAGACTGAAAGTCTGTAACTCCATTTGATCCAGTCACACTTTAAATCTAGCAAGTGAACAACAAATCTGCATTTTAGCCACATACTCAAATTGCATCATACACAGGAGAAAATTACATAGCAAGGGGTAGACATGAACCTTAGAACAATAATAAACCAGTCACTGGTGGATGTCAAGAGGCAATTACTCCCAACAAGCAAACAACATAACAAACAGCAACAATTTTGTATAAAAGTAGTTTGGCTTGTTGTCATATCTACCTTCTCTGTAGCTCCAGGAAAAGTTTGGCTGGGATGCCTTCAAGAAGGTGTTTGCTGCGTACCACCGTATGAGTGACATCCCTGATGACAACAACACAAAGATGAACCTGTATGCTGAGACTTTCTCTCAGACTGTGAAGATGAACCTGACTGGCTTCTTTAAGGCCTGGGGCTGGCCAATAGAAGCAGCCACTGAAATGAAAATGTCCAAGCTGCCTTACTGGAATGATCACCCCATGACCCAGTACAGATAAACCCAGTGCCACTGCAGACTACAAAATATTAATGTTAGTTTTAATGAGTGAAACTGTTCTTTTTTGGTCTTTTTTTAAACCACATTAGTTAAAAATAAACCATATATGGAATCTCATTTTGACCTCAGATGTTTCTGTACACTACGCCAGCCTCTTGGTTCCTTTGTTTTTTAGGCCTGTTACACATAGAGCAAAATTAACCTGTGTAATTATTTAGTACGCTCACTGGTGGTGGTTTGTGGTTATGATGGTGTTTTTGTGTGGTTTTTAGTGGAACTAGTAATCATGTTTTTGTAGTAAGTATCACTTTAGTATGTTACATTATATGCATGACACTTAATATGTAAACCATTCACTGACAAAGTTTCATGTCTGTATTACACCAACAGGATAAGACAGAACTGGATTAGTTGTTTTCCCATTGACTGAGAACTGATACATAGACTAAATGACAGTAGTATAATGATCCTAGTAATCTTGATTGTTTGTGTAATTAAGTAAAAGTTTTGTCTAATAGCATGGAATCAATGCAGTTAAACTTAAAAAAAAAAGAAAGAATTGATGCCTACATTTGTTCTGTTGTTGAATGATTGCGTTTGGCTGAACCACAGATTCTGTGCAGTGAATCTAAGAACATTACATGGACTGCTGGGTTATAAAGTCAGCTCAAAGTTACGCTTTCTGTTTTACAGTGAACTGTTTAGTGCTGTTAGTGCTATGTAATGCTTTTACATCATACACTGCTGTTTGGCTGCAGCTGCTCATGTTAATGGCTTCTGTCATTAAATGTAAGGAGAGCCCCCACCCACATCCATCCATCCTTCCATCCATCCATCCATCCATCCGGGCACTTTGCAATTCTATGATTAGAGCGATGACTGAAATGAATTCAGTCTCACAGCAAGAAGGTCCTGAGTTCAATTCCATCATCAGGCCAGGCTATTTCTGTGTGGAGTTTGCATGTTCTCCCTGTGTTTGCATGGGTTCTCTCTGGGGACTGTGGCTTCCTCCCACAGTCCAAAGACATGCAGTTAGTAGGTTTAAGTTAATTGGTAACTTGCCCATAGGTGTGAATTTGTTTGCAAATGGTGTTTGCCCTGTGACAGACTGCTGACTTGTCCAGGGTGTACCCTGACTCTTGCCCTCAGACAGCTGGGATAGGCTGTCTGAGGGCAGTAAATAACAGTAAATAAATATGACCACTCTATCCTGTCAAAAGCCTGACGAGCGTCAAGTGACAATAATGCTGTATCTTTAGCATCAAATTTCTCATGAATTATATTTAGAACCCTTCTTATATTGTGAAACCCTTGACGTTTTGGCACAAAGCCATTTTGATCATTATGAACTAAATGTGATATATAGGGGTCTAATCTCCTTGCTAAAACTTTACATAGTATTTTAGTGTCAACCCCCATCAGACTTATTGGTCTAAATGATGAACACTCTGCAGGGGGTTTGCCAGGTTTCAGTATCAAAGTAATCATTGCTTGTCTCAGAGTGGGTGAGAGAGCTTCATTTTGATACGCTTCTTCAGACATGTTAAAAAGTGGAATTAATAATTTGTCTTGAAAAGTTTTATAAAATTCAATCGGAAAGCCATCTGGCCCAGGTGCTTTACCACTGTTAATGCTTTTGATAGCCTGTGATATCTCTTCAGTAGTTAGACGTCTGTCTAATTCCTGCTTTGTGTTTTCTGTTAGCGTCTGAAACTGAAGTTGATCTAAGAATATGTCCTGTTCTTCTGAGGTTTGAGCACATTCTGATTTATGCAATTTTTCATAAAATTCTCTAAAGCTGTCATTAATTTCCAATGGATCTACTGTTACATTGCCTGAAGAGGTCTTTATACTATTAATTGCTCTTTCACTCTGCATTTTCTTAATTCTCCATGCCAAAAGTCTACCTGCTTTCTCTCCTTGGTCATAATAAGATTGCTTCAGCCCAACCCGTTCTCACTCCCAAAGCGTAACATTTTACGCTAGGTGACAAATCGTCACCATATTACGTTTTCGGCTACCCACCACGTTCCTAAATGACGACCTCGGAAAACAGAGGAAATATGAGAACCCTCTGGACTGAATCTACACATGTTCGCTCTTTTTCTTCAAATCGCTTAGAAACACGCTATTTAACATCATTAAAGTCCTGGTTAAGGTCAGGAATAAGGTTATGGTCAGGGCTAGGAATAAGGTTAGGTTTAGGGCTGGAATACAGGGCTGGAACGTCTATTACCGCGGGAGCGTCATTGCACTGGATTCCAGCCATAACCCGCCGCGTACCCTAAGAACGCCGAAGGTCTCCTTTCGCATTCCTCAGGAACGCCGCGGGACGAGACAAAACGTCGACATGTTACGCCTCGGGAGTGAGAACGCCCTGTTCAGCCATATTAGACTTTTTGCTGCTGCATCAGATGATAATTTATTATATTCAGTTCTCAGACGTAGCAACTCACTTTGTTTTGTTGAGTCGTTGCTAACGTTTAAGTCTAATTCCAAAGATTTAATCTTTGTACTTGTAAAGCTAAGAATTTCACCTCTAATATATGCTTTGAATCCTTCCCATCTCACTGAGGTACAAGTTTGATCTGTATTTTAACTCAAAGTAATTTTCTATTTTCTCCTCTATAAATTTAACAAATTCAGGATTCTGCAGCCATTTTGTTTGAAGCCGTCAGTGAGGGGGGTTATGGATAAACTTTCCTAGATGGATACTCAGTGAGATAGCTGCATGATCACTGATCACTATGCTATCATACTGACACTGTTTGATCCTTGATAAAAGTTCTCTTGAGACAAGAAAGTAATCTATACGTGAGCGGGATTTATGTATACTTGAATGACAGGAGAATTCTATTTCATCAGGATTTTGTTCTCTCCACACTTCTACCAAGTTGATATCTGATATAAATCGATTTATTAGTTGTCTAGTTTGTGCTTTATATGTATCTGAGCCTGTTGAGCGATCCATACTCGGATTGAGAGTACAGTTAAAGGCTCCTCCAATTATATACAGTCCTTGCAAAGCAGATACAGTAAGAAACAGATCTTCAAAAAATTTGGGCTTATTTTCATTTGGGCCATAGAGACTCACCAAGTTTAAAGTAATAGAAAGGATGGTACCCTGAGTGATTACGTACCTACCAGCAGGGTCTTTTATTATTTTCGTCATTTGGAATGGTATGCTTCCATGAATCAAAATAATTACACCTCTTGCATAGTTATTGTATGATGCGTGGATCACCTGGCCAGGCCATCTGTTCCTCACAGACTTTAGTTCACAGTCTGTCAGATGTGTTTCTTGAAGAAAAACTATTTTTGATTTCAATTGCTTGATCCTGCTTATAACCTGTTTCAGTTTGATTAGTTTCCTGAGACCCCGGACATTCCAACTAGTGACTTTTATGTCAGAGATATTGCGGTGTTTAGTTGGTCCATACTTGGAGTTTTCATTCTGTAATATTAAGTAAAGTAAGTAAGTAAGTAAAACTTTATTTATATAGCACCTTTCAAGATAAAAAATCGCAAAGTGCTTCACAGAAGCTAAAACCTAAAAATAAAAATCAACTAAAAGCAAGTTTAAAAAGATGGGTTTTTAGCTGTTTTTTAAAAGTGACCACTGAGTCCACAGATCTCAGGCTCAAAGGGAGAGAGTTCCACAATCTGGGGGCCACAGTTACAAAAGCTCCAAAAGCTC